CTAAACCTAGTTCGAGCATGTACGTAATGAACATGGAAACGGTAATGTATTCGTTTGAAACAATGGAGCTGGAAATTACCTGTCGGAACGGCACCCTGAAGTGAACATCGGACGGTGCTGACACTGCGGCTGCATTACTCCACGACACTTGACAAAACAGGTGCTCAGCGTTATACACGTACGACTTGCATCCTGCAGTTTCTCTGCACAGGAGGAAACACATTTGAATTCCGATGTTATTTTTAGATGGAGGTAGCGTTTCGGAAGTCTTCGTGATCATACTAAAAGATATTGTGTTCTTACAGTGATACTGATCGAATACCATGACGATGAGACCAAGTACCAAGACTGTTCCGCTCATGCTGACTGGACCGTTCAAAATAGCTACCTTACTTTTGCATCCAAACATAGTCAACATCTGAGGGATCATCTCAAACGTCCTAGTCTTTGACACGGTCCTAGTGTCTGGTAGTCTGTTTATGGACGTTGTTGGTACATACCGTACGAATTCGTTAAGAGTTTAAAAGGCTAAAAATGTTTCTACCTTTTCTCAACTAACGTATTTCGATTTAAAGGTTTTCTTCTGACAGCTTTGCATGCGTTTTGAGATGATGTCTTCTTCGGGTGAATGTTTGTTTATGGTTGTACATTGAACATGTGTCAACAGGACCGAGGTTAATATTTGATAAATTGTGATCTACAACTGACAATAGCCAGAAATACATGTACCATAGACAGATTCGAACTCTTATCTATGACATATGCCACAATAAACCAGGGCAACACGAGACAGAAATCAGAAGGAGACAGAAATCAGATAAGACAGTGTTTACGTTGTTACTACCTGAATGCTACCGATGGTGATGTTTGATACGAGCCATAGCTGCTGTGTGCAGAAAACAAGTAAACGGTTGTCATTCAAGCCGGCAATTTATGCCTGAATGCATGCATGATGCACGTGCATCTCGATTTCGATGTTGTGTTTGTGCAAACTCTTACCTTTCCACAAACAAACACATTTCTAACTTCAATCTCAAGCAATAATTTATTGGGCAAAACAGGCTATCCGACCACGATTCATGGTTTCCTCAAACTTGACTTCCGTGTATATTTAAAACAAAATAGGTTCAAATACTCCATTGATACTTCAATGTCATTTCGAATATTACGATATTTCTTTTGTCTTTCAGTATATGATTATATTTCATAAATTAAATCAAATTACCAAAATGTTCATTTCTGAATGAACAAACTGGGAACACTTTGCAAATGTATGATGATTGATGTCATGCCCGCCCGCGATCACCCAGGACAATAGGGCTTTGATGGAGATGTTCAAGTTGATGTGAGCAGTGTGTGATACGGCAAACATTTTTAAAACTTGAGTCTCTCAACGGGCGATTTGAGGGAGTCTTGCCGAATATTGAGATACGGTGTACGTGGACAATGTCTAATCTGACTTGTCTCCTATGAAAGTGGTCTGATGAAAGGTGGCAACATGATTCGCCTTTAGAGCAAGATTCTGTAGGGGATGGTTTCGAATCAGTCTAGTACCATTGCCGCTGACCCGGGGCGTCTGAACGGGATCCGTCATCAATGGTTTGGTTTTGCTTGTACCTGTACCTGCTGATCTCATATTGATTGTGGAACAGTGTGCACACATTGGCCGCAGCCCGTACATGTTTCAGCCAATCCCCAGACAACAAAGTACAACAACTGTATGGGCTTTTCTGACCCGGTGAGATGGGCAATCTTCTGTAGTCTCTATCATAGGTATTGGCCTCTCATCTCACGTTGCATCTCAAGTAACAAGGAGACGGCCAGTATTTGGAGATCATTCTTGTCCTGAATACTTAGCCAATTTCGGAAACTTTACCATTGTTCCAATGAGTTGAACATGTTCCCTCGGTCTTTATCGATATAGGGGATGTGTGGTAGCCTAGTGGTTAAAGCGCTCGTTCGTCACGCCGAAGATCCGGGTTCCATTCCCCACATGGGTACAATGTGTGATTCCCATTTCTGGTGTCCCCCGCCGTGATATTGCTGGAATATTGCTAAAAGAGACGTAAACCCAAACCAACCCACTCACTCACCGTATTGATATAATCACTTATTTTATATGATAATGCCTTTGATTTTTGTACTGCCATTCTATTGTGTACTTTCAATGTAATACCTTTTGCATTGATTTATAAACGTAGAGAATGTTAGAATACAAATTGTTACTTACGTTACATTTCCATGGTGGCGGTTGGTTTCACACAGAGCATTTTACGGACTGATTTCTGGTGAACATTTATCTTAAACCTGGAAATTAACTCGAAGCAGTAGTGAACAGCAACATAACAGTGCCCTCCAAGGCTATTTGTCATCAGCAACTATCGTTGCTCTAATACCCTTTTGGTGCAACATAACCAGTGTCACTCAGATATCACTGTTGCCTAGCAACCATTGTTTCTGTATTTCGTCGCCTGTGACGTCATGAAACAAATTGAACGTGGCGCCAATGGAGAGGACCGTCACACTTGCTTACGTGTTTCACTGCACACGCGTACATGAATAAAATGGATGATAAATATATTATTATACAAGCAAGTGTTCCATACGACTTATTCGAAAAGCGTGCAAAATTATGTATTGCTCTCGCTCGGATAATACATATTTCACACTCGTTTCCTATAATATGGCACTGTTGCTTGTGCAATAATCTCCACATATTTCATTTGTGTTATCAACTGCCTAGTGGTCAATATAAGGCAAGAGGAGACCTAACTATATTAAGTTATCAGAGCCATCAAACTGGTCAACTGTACTGAGGCCTGCCCGTTTGGTTGTCATGCCGAGGACCCTAGTTCAGTTTCCACAACGTGTGTAGCCCATTCCTTCTATTCACAGACGTAGCATTGCAGGAATATTGCTAACAACGTAAAACCAGACTCACCTTCTCACTCAACTTTCAGTTGACAATACGTTGAAGTACCCATAACTGAACAGTCATTTATTATTAGTGGTCAGTGTTTCTGCCGGTCAGCTGATGTTCCAGAGCTTCAACATAACCTCAGCAGCAGCAGCATTAGTGATGAAGGGTCCTGTACTAGTAATTAGAATCAGAATATCAGCAGGAGGTGTAATAAAAACGATTGCGTGGGTTTTACTTTCAACAAATACTAGCGACAAAACCCTCTCCATATAAACATAAAATCTCAAAGCGTTGATTTCCACACGTTTACGTGTCAATAAACAATTGAAAATCGGCCATCACTCATAGCCGACAGAACCGCTGTATTGCCATGGCAATAAACAAATACTGGAATCTGTTTCGAAAGATAGTCAAGACAGATTCTACATCGGCGAGGACGTTTCATATTTCTAATCGCCCCTTGATATGAGTAGATCTCTGATACTATATGATGTATATGACATCTATCTTCTGTATGTCTGTTATCTACTTGTGACAATCTGCGTATTTCTGGCACTGATGTTATTGATCGATTCCCCGTGTCTGGGGCCAGGACACAGCTGCTCGATAAAAACACAGCATGAAGTTAGCTTCCTTTTTTGGTTTTAACGAAGTTGCCCACTTGTTGGTACAATAGTAGTATCAAATATTCCATGTATGACAACATTGCAAGCAGTCAGTAAACACAGTTTAAGACAAGTTTGCAAAAAGTCACTAAACGTTAGTTGTGACGACATTGCAAGAAGTCACTAAACATTAGTTATGAAAACATTGCATGAAGTCACTAACATTAGTTGTGACGACATTGCAAGAGGTCACTAACATTAGTTATGACGACATTGCAAGAAGTCACTAAACATTAGTTGTGACGACATTGGAAGAAGTCACTAAGCATTATTATCTCAATATTTAAAGAAATCACTAAACATTGCTTATGACAGCATTGCAAAATGTCACTTAACATTATCATGACAACACTGCAAGCAGTAGGTAACATTATTTTAGACAACATTCCAAGAAGTCAATAAACACTAGTTATGACAACATTTCAAGACGTCAGTTAACATTAATTTGCAACATTGCAAGCAATCAGCTAGCATAAATTATGTCAACACTGCAAAATGTCACTAAACATTAGCGGGGGCGCCTTATTCGTTGTGCACAGCTGTGTTACCTGGACGGGCCAGAGTGAGTGAGTATCACGGCGGGGAACGCCGGAAATGGGCTTCACACATTGTACCCATGTGGGGAATGGAACCCGGGTCTTTGGCGTGACGAGCGAAGGCTCTAACCACTAGGCTACCCAACGGGCCAGAAACGTATGGATGTTGATTCGAATCCAGGTTCGACCCGATCGACCATTTTTGACCATACCCGTGCTCGGGTGTTCCATCGAGACAGTAAAACCCGCGGTCAAAAGTAGTTTACTCAATCCACTCACTCCGTTTGCCATCCTGATGACACCAAGGCTTGAAGTTCGCAAAACACGGATTCTGTGATTCAGCGATTCCTGATTCGAACCAGGGCCCTTATTCTCGAAACGTTCGTAGCCCTAAGAATTCTTATCTTTGATCGTAGCCAATGTGTTAAGAATAGGCTTAAGAGGTTCGTAGGGCTTAAGAAGTTTCGAGAATAGCTAGTCAGGACACTTTTCAGGCACAAATGTCAAAGTACCGCCCCAATGCGAGGTTGAAGTATTTTGCTTTTCAATACAAATTGCGAAAGTTGCATTTGTTTGCTTGTGCTAAAAGAAACCAAGATGCTTATTCTGTTGCGTATATTTAAAACATCTTTTGATCGCTGTTCCTTTTTTTACAATTAGGGATTAGTTACCAATTGTACCCATCTTAACTGCACTTGTAGGTTGTCATTATACAGCGGTTTGTTTAATCGGAACAAAACATGTCATCGTGACCCAAAAGCGTACATCGAAGCTCACGATGTTATCACAGGATTGTGTGGTCCAGACCCGATTAGTCACAGACTGCTGCCATATAGCTGGAATATTGCGGCGTTAAATAACCAAACAAAACAAGAAACGTCACGTTTAATGATTTTAATGATTTTAAGCTTTTAATCGGCGTTAATAGATTTAAATTTCACAATGTCATAATGCACATTCTAACACATAAAACACAAAATCGTCAAGTCAAATATTCTGTGGTATTAGAGAGAATGAGCGATGTTTGTATCACTCAATATGAAAGCTGATGAATTGTTAATATTCATTATATATTTATAAAGCAATATTCAATAAAACCCTTGACAACTTCTCATATGGGTAACTGATAACAACACTGAAATCAACAATATACACAAAATCTTGATCACCTACACACCACAACCACAAACTTGATCAAAATGTCTTTTGGTTGAAATGTATATACGAAGCCTACGCTCTTGGACTGACTGACTGACTGAGTTTGGTTTTACGCCGCTTTAGCAATATTCAAGCAATATCACGGCGGGGGACACCAGACATGGGCTTCACTCATTTTCCCCTTGTGGGGATTCGAACCCGGGTCTTCGGCGTGACGAGCCAACGCTTTAACCACTAGACTACCCCACCACCCCCCTACGCTCTTGGAGGATACCCCACTTGTGTCTATGCACTGATGTACATTGATCAAAAGTTCAGCTTATAAAGGATGTCTCCACTACATTAACGGATCAAACAAATTTGACCTTTGACCTCCAACATGTATGGTCAATACGACATGCCGACGTCTACAGGCACGTCTTCCTCGTCCAGTGGACTGACCGCCTGCCCGATGAGGCAAAGCGCAGTGGTTCGATTACCCAGTCAGCGTGTCAGGCTCAAATACAGTCAAATCCCGATGAGTCGAATCGCTGGGGACCAAGTAATAAATTCGACTTATCGATGTATTCGAGACATAGGTATGTCTATGGGGTAGAAAAAAAGACGATTCAGCCCTAATTCCTCCGCCCAAGCATTTGTTTATCTAATGATTTCCATATCACTAATAGGGGCACCTTATCAGTTCTAGTCTGATTAGCACAGACAGTGATTTCCGTAAAATCACTAATCTGCCTTTTGAACTCACTCGTCAATGTCGGAAAGGTGTGAGCCGCGCTGGTTTGTTAATTGGATCAGTTTGCTACACCAATCAACTTCTCATTGACTGACTTCGGCTTATGTATACAAGATTGCTGTTGTTTGAATCTCATGGGACCAAATTTCCTTCTCGAGTCATCGTGTGTACTTATGAGACGAATTCGTGTAGCCGGTATTCAAATGATGACAACTATAACAGGGAATGGTCGTGACCGACAGGTACTTCGAGTTAAGCATAATATTCGAGACACCGGCATTCAACTCATCGGGATTTGACTGTATCTTAAGATACTTGTTGTTGCCCCGCCTGGGGGTGGAATAAGGGAATAAAACAGACCAGTCAGCTTAGTATAGGTGGAAGAGCGTATATCATTTGGTTAGCCCCATAACCACACACCCCAGTAGTTGTACGCGCGTCGGTAAACCCCATGTCATCTCATTTCAGCTTACAAATCTAAACAAGTGAGACACGTGGGTTATTATTTTACGTAGTTGCTCCTCCATCATTGGCAAATCAGACACACTAACACTAAAACACGCTGACTAAAAGACGCCAGATGTTGTTGCCTGTTTTCTGATGACGTTAGGTAATCATTGTTCGTCTAGAGGCTGCGGAGATGACATGAGGACATTTTTTATGGATATACAACTTTACAGTTGTTTCGACATAGATTCTGTATTATCACTGCTTGCATGACAACGCCATTAGAATCTATGTCGAAACGTCGCCTATACCGAATAAACAAGTTGTATATCCATAACAAAATGGCATCATTCTTCATCTAACACGTTGACGATAGTTACTCGTTGTTCTGTAACCTCTTCATTTTTTTCCTGAAAAAGAAACCTTTATGTTAGTTTCCACAGCAAACATCCACCTGAAAGTAAAACGATTGCATGTTCTTTAAGTATCACATGTTCTATGCTCACACAAGACTGTACTTGTGTTTCGTCATATGAGCGAAATATTCTCAAGCACGACGTTAAACCCAATTTCACCTCACCTCACCTGTACTTGTGTTTGTATATTACATATCACAGGTAATGCTGACGTGAGAGAGTGCAGTTGCTGTATAAATCATTAAAAATTGTTTTACCCAAATTGTTGTCCTCCATCTCGTAAAGCACATTTTCCTCCATGACTGAAGGAAAAAAAGAAGAAAGATAGATCAATTGATTTAGTAAGTGTTTGTTTGTTGATAAACGCTGGTAAGAAAGATTCTTATACCGTAGCGTCTCATCATATATAATAAAGAAGTTGGTATCCATAAAGTATCTTACTTTCTTATTACTCACCAACGTCTAAAATGAAGATCAAACAGAAAAACGCTGCATCTAGAACTACGTGGCGACGGTGTGGAACAGACGTACCGTTGACCTAAGGTCCAACATAACCAGGAACGTCCAGACTTATTGAGTCTATGGACCTTGCATTATATGTATTAAACAAATCCCCGATTAGTATTGGGTGATGTGTACCCACCCTTACCGAAACTACCTACGTGTACATGATGTACCAGATTTCGACGAAACATAACTAAAATATGATACACCATTAACCAGATAATATGATGTCATAAAATGTGATACACCATTAACCAGATAATATGATGTCATAGCATGTTGATATCACTATTTATGTTCATAAGTCGTAGAAGAAATAACTATACGTGTATACTCATGGAAAAAAATAAGGGAACACATGAAAGTACAAGTGTTTCTTTATTTATTTCCAGAATTTCACCCACAGTGCAATATATATCTTGCGACGAAACCTGGAAAGAATAAAGGCACACTTGTACTTTCATGTGTTTCCTTATTTGTTTCCATGAGTATATGTTACTCACCTATTTTGTCTGTGGCTTGGGTCACTGTGTCACTTGTCCTCTCATACAGCAAGTTGTCCTCCATCACTGAAACACAGCAGGTGTAACATTGGAAACCAGATTCCGAGGATGTGCACATTGGGTACCCCGGACATGCAGGAAGGTCACGGAGACTAGATAATTAGTGAGTGAGTATGTTATTTTACGCCGCTTTTAGCAATATTCCAGCAATATCACGGCGGGGGACGCCATAAATGGGCTTTACACAATGTACCCATGAGGAAATCGAACCCGGGTCTTCAGCGTGACCAACGGACGCTTTAACCACTAGGCTACTCCACCTCCCCCTCGGCACAATACAAAGACTTAAAGTAATACAGATCATTGTAGAGACCATGGTGATCTTTCCCATATTCTTCCATCAAAGCGTCACTTGGAAAGCAAGATTACAAATTGAGATGTTTTAATGGGGACGATATAGGTGTTTTGACATTTGCAGTTTACGGGTTAAATTGTGAGATGGCCTTTCCTTTATTACTTGTCTTTCGCGAATACAGATTATCGTAAAATGCCAGTTAAATGAAACACGTGACGGAATATCTTAAAATAATGCAATTTACTGCGATACATTTAGTGGGGTCAAATGTATTCATTAATGCGATCTCAATAAGGTCTCGGTGTTTTGTGATCACCTGAAGCATTTGTACCATCTAAGTAGAGTCTAAAAATGTAGAGTTCTGTGAGACAGTCGCACTGAGCGAGTGTCTGTGTCTTCTTGAGTTTCTCTATGTCTGGTGTTCTGCAAGACACTGTCATGTAAGAGACTCTGCAAGACACTGTCATCTTGTCATCTAAGCGAATGTCTCTACGCGTGGTGTTCTGCAGGATCAAGCAGATCAATTTGTGCATGTGTGAGTGATGTTCTGCAATGTATGTCTACCTGCTTTTGTTGTATTGCCTGCTGATTTCTGCAAGTACGGTTCTCCCGGCTCGTACAATACGTTCCTCATCTGTAGGACTAGAGGAAGAGAAAATACGTTCGGTCAGTGTCATTATCATAACATCATCATCATCCTCGTCATCATCATCATCGTCGTCGTCGTCATCACAACTACCACCACCACCACCACCACCATCATCATCATCATCATCGTCATCGTCATAATCATCACCATCATCATCATCGTCGTCGTCGTCGTCGTCATCACCACCACCAACACCACCAGCATCATCATAATCATCATCATAATCATCACCATTATCATCATCATCATCATCATCACAACAATGGAAGCCGGACATTACAATGAGAATAACATTAACTGCAGATACTCGTACCTGAGGAACTTTGTGGCACGCGTCTTTTGCGCACGAATGCAACAGTGGCGACCACAACAGCGCAGATAGCGACACCTCCAACAGCTACGCCAACATATATATGCCAGGACTTCGCTTCTTGTGTAACCAACGTATTTGAGACAGTTGCTGTGTGGAAAAAGATAAACTCACTAAACACTGATTGAACTAATCACGTGCTTGTCAAGCGACTGTTGTATAATTTATTCTGTACAGGTGATATTTACAGTATATCATCCAAAACTGTGTTCCACAGGAAATATCGCTTGTGTGAGGAGATCAAACGATATCTCCTAGGAGATATCGTTTTGACAGTAGATTTTGTACAATGCCCTGACAATGCTATGACGTCATGTACTTGATGACGTCACAATGCTATGACATCGCTGCACTGCAAGTCTAATGGCAGTTCCATGTTCGGAGATGTACATTTTTCATTGAAAATTAATGAAGAGTGATTTTGGATGATAAATAGAATCTCACCCTCGTGTCTTCTGATATCAAATATATCAACATTCATTGGTCAAAGTAAAAATATCCTCGGCAAGCCTCGGATATTTGTAACTTTATCAACTCGTGTTGATATAATTGATATCAGAAGACACTAGGGTGAGATTCTCTATATATTTCAACCAGAATATATAAAAATTAAATGTACAAGATGGCATCATGGGCACTAGTGCTTCTTGTCGACGTTATCGCTCAGAGTTTTGCTTTAAGAGACACAGATGACACCGGTTTCTCGCAGATTTTAGCTATGTCGTCACTAGTCCACGTCAAGGAGTTTGACAGGCGTCAAATCGGAATTAGTTCAATTCTGCTGTGACGTCACTTGGTAGCTAAACAATAGGACTTAGTCGTCTTCAGTAGTCTTCTATTGCGGCTACACCGGTTTAGAGGTTAATATAAAGCATGTCGCTAAGACGTCCATTCACAGGACTGGATGATTCCTTTGTTCTAGAAAGGTCGTAGCTCGTCTCTGGTCCACGTGTCGACGTTGAAACCATACATCATGTACATCTGCCACTGTAACGCCACACGTGACGAGGCTGAGGTCAGTCAATGTCAATACAGTGTTCGGGTTGAAATACGTAGCACGTCAAAGAGCTGAAGCACAAGTAAAATCCTTTGCTGATGGCGTGCTACACTTCGTAATCACTCTTCATTTGTATACGCCCGTTTCTTGTTGTTCTGGCCGTGGTAACCAACAAGCTCATCATACAGTTTATACAAATTATTTGTTTGTTTGTTAGTTAAAGCCGTACCAGAATATTCCTGCGGTTTGTAAATAATCGAGTCTGGACCAGATAATCCAATAATCAACAACATAAGCATCGATCAGCGCAACTGGGATCCAATGACATGTGTTAACTAACTCAGCGAGCCTGACCACCCGATCCTGTTATTCGCCTCTTTCCTTAAGCATGGGTTGCTTGACACTTATTCTTATCCGGATCTTCAAGTGTTTTATGCAAACTAATGAAGAACTTCCATACCCTTGATTAAACCTTTTCCGCCATGTGCCAAATGGCACTGCAGGATATGCGAGATTGATCATACTTTGCCATATATATTTATATTAGTTATTCATGCTGATGTTTTAGACACGAAATATATTCATGTATTCATACTTAGTACTGTTACGTAATGTATTTCATCTTATTCTCGTTTTTCTCCTGTAAGCATTCGCCTGTCAAGTAAATAACATTCTATGATGATAATAATTGATCCTAATATTCCTCAAGCAGCTGATATAGCATGAAACAGCGAATCTGTTCATAGTTTTCTGAATCATCTGTATGCGATAAAAATACATCTATAGAGAAAACCAACGTTGGTTTACAAAATATACAGCACTTACACGACTCTCCAGAAAACCTGTAGACGTATGTGCTCCCCCTTCCACTGTTGTCCGACACCGAGCAGGTCACGTGTATGTCTTGTATGAGGTCATCAGCGTACAGCGTTATGTTTTGATGGCACAGTCCGTTACACCTGGAATACGTATGACAATGTTAATAAAGCAGAGCATTGTAGATCACTGAAGACCTTTGTACTTAGGATGTTGGTGCTCATAGTATAGATATTTCACCTACCGTAGTGTCATCAGTAGCAATTACCTGTCATACTCCATGATAGACGTGCTCTGATCTACACTTGGAACACTGACAACAGTCCAGGTGAAGTTGTCTCTCTCCTGACATCCTCCGCTGCAGGTGAGGGTAAAGTTGCCAGAGAAGTCACTTCCGGTCTCCTTTTCGCCTGATATTGTCACGTTCCTCCTGAAATCTGTAACATTACTCTAACGATGTTAGGCGAAGCGATCTAATACAGACATAAATGTATTTCATATTACACGAAAATTTCAATGATTTCAAGTCGCCTATTCTCAAAATATTAGGTCACAAAACATATTTGTATCTGCATATTTGAGGAAAACTGTTCTTATCTGGAATTATGCATTGTTTTCTGCTATTGTAATAACTCTCTCTCTCTCTCTGTGTGTGTGTGTGTGTGTGTGTGTGCAGGCGTGTTATAATATAAGTTGTTCACTGGTCTCGAGGGGGACATGGGTTGATGTACCCTCGATGTTTGTTTATGTTCCCCGAGCCCGAAGGGAACACCTTACTGTTAATTTTGAATTGTTTGAACCACGGGTATAAATCTTTTTGTAGCCATCACTAGATTTTGCTGACAAGAAAAATAGATTTAGAGTTATCTCCCTTCCATCGATTTGCATTCGCAAAACATCGGGAATTTCCGTACATCATACGTGATTCAATGTTATTCAAGATAAAGAATTACTACCACGAAGTACCAAATGAGTTGCCATTGACAGTGGGGTACATTGAAAATAATAGAAGAGCGCTCAGCCAATCAGAAAGCGACATTTATGTCTAAGGTAAGATAATAATGCGTATACATCTGTAAGGGTTGCACTCCTGTTCTTGTACCGACTTTATGTCTGTTACTGTATTGGCTAATACCTGCCGTAAAACATACGAACCTGTATCAAGAACGATAACTCTTACTGAGTTGCTGTGCGTTCCTGCGATTTTGCAGCTCCACAGTGTGTTGTGGTTGGAGACTGAAGTGTTGTAAAACGTGACCGCGTGGTACTGACGAGTGCAATTCTCAGTCAGATTCTGGGTTAGTTTGGTACAATGAGTTTGTAAGTCTATCTTACATGACTCTCCGAGTGTAAAGCACAGTTTACCATCCAAGTACCAGGAAGTTAAGGACAGATTGTATCTATTTGATGAACAGGCTAAGGTGAAGGTCGATCCCACGCCAGTTACTGGTTGATCGGTAGACATGAAAACTGAAAAGTAATCAGAATCTCTTAATTCAGGGGTTCCATGAGCACTAGTGTGTCCTGCATCCAGGTGCTTCCATAATTGACGTCTATAAACTTATGATATATGTAGCACAACATCACAGGCCGTCATGATATAGCTGGCTGGCTGTGACACAAACAACACAAGCCGTATTGATACTGTTGTCTGACGTTGACGTTGGCCGTGGGGTGGCCTAGTGGTCAAAGTGTCCGCTCGTCATGCTGAAGGCACGGGTTCGATTCCCCACATGACGCCTGATATTGCTGGAATATTGCTAAAAGCGGCGTAAAATCATACTCACTCACTCACTGTGACGCAAACACCAAGTGGACAAAATCGATTGTTATAACAGAACCATTACTCACATTTGTCTTCTGTTAGTGCTGTAACTGTTGAGCCGTTACTATATAGGTTCCCTTTCTTGCAGTACCAAGTGTCATTGGATGCGATGTTCCAGACAGTCAGACTCTGGTACAGGTACCCATACCCGACAGTCATATTATGTCCAACATCAATCAGTGTCTCATCTGTGCACGTTTTAATATCCGTTCTTGTTCTATTGTCAATGTCTCTGACCCATGTCACATGTGTTGCGTTCGGGCGACTCGCCTCGATTTCACTCCATGTACAGACGAACGTGAATGGACGTCCGATGACGGCAGGATCTGACGTGGTATACAGTACAGGCTTTGCAAACCCTGAAACATGACAGACGTGTGTCAGTGATATGTTATGTTTGGTGAGTGTGAGGAAGTATGGGTTCACACGCGTTTTTTCCTAGGTCCCGGTCATCTCAAGGCGGAGAGACGCCAGAACCTCGTTATCTAACATCAGAGCGGATGTCGAACGCGGATGTGCGTCGCGATATCCTTGTAATGTGGCGATGTGAATATGTGATGGAGATGTGTGCTAATCCAGAAGATAGTAAGAATGTAGTCCTGCAAGTCGTCAGTCAGAAATGGGCTGATGGAAGTGAACAAATTTGAGAGACCAAACTCAAAAAGTGAGTCGGATTACGAGTGAGTTAATGAGAATATTTTTTTTGCAGGATGGGATTAAGTGGGTGCATGAGAAAATAAGATTCTGATAAGAGAATCAGGAAGTGAAAGTTAGATAGTGAGTGAGTGAGTGAATCAGAAACTGAGAATCAAGCCGTGAACGGGGTTCAGAAAGTGAGAGAATCAGTAAGTGGAAGTCAGATAGGTAAATGTTAAGCCAGAAAATAATGAGAGAGTCGGAAAGTGGACAGACGAGAGAATCTGATTGAATCTAACAGTGAGGAACTCAATAAAGAGAACAAACGAATCCAGTCAGAACGTAAGCTAGTGAGGTATATCTGCTATCGTGGAAGTTGAGGGAGTAGGCGAGCGAAGGCCTGAAACTAAGAAATGTATGTGAGTGACCTGGAAAGTAAATGAATGAGCGTCGGAATTAAACAATGAGAAAGCAAGAAAGTATGAGAGTGAGTGATCAGAAAGTTACTAAGAGACCCGAATATGTGACTTTGCTGAGTCAAACAGGCTGTTGTGTATCTAAGTTGGTATTTTGTCCCGAGGTTGATTTCCAGCGTATACTTTTACGAATGAAGTCAGCGCTATTGGAATTTCACTCACGAAAATATGTAACAACCTATATTACTAAAGCATAATAGAATAAATAAAGATTTGACAAATGAAGGGCCCCTGGGCTATTTATAGTGCAATACCACTCTACAGTCGCACAACAGGCAACCAGGAAGTAGAAACAGTCTTAATAACGTTGACACATATTCAGCAATGTTAACTAACGGTCATGTATGTCACGCTGTTCGTAAATGGGCACAGTTTTAATGAAACCCACGAAAACGGATAATGGTGCCAACCATTGATCAGGAGCGACATGGGATTCGAATCCACAATCGTTGGATCCTGCCTTGACCAAGATATGCAACTCTGTTTTCCAAGTATCACCATTGCCAGCACCGATTCCTAAATGGCGGTACTACTGTACGGGACATCATATCACGTACAGAGAGAACGGGATGAGTGTAATCCTAAAGTGGGCGTCCTAAACTACAGGCAGTATACGGAAACTGACAAAATAAACATTCTGTTTGAGTAAATAATGAAATAGCAAACCTTGATACATTGTGTGGACTACCCAGAAGTAGAAGACAACAGTCACCGCCTTCATTTTTTACTGTACACATCAGGCAGCTGGCGAGACAGCCTAAACATCACCGTTAGCTAAATATAATATACATCCTAGTGTGCACTTTCCTGATACGGTATCTTCCGGGGATCACTTGACTGAAGTTTCCGTTATCATCTGAGGTGAATTTGAATCTGCTCGGTTTCTGGGAGTATTTTCTGTGCCTGGACCTAAACTCTACACCACTTTCTGTTCCTGGTACTACTTTCTGTTCCTGGTACGACTTTCTGTTCTTGGTACGACTTTCTGTTCTTGGTACTACTTTCTGGTCCTTGTACTACTTTCTGAAACTAGGTTCAGTTGTTTCTCATATTTTCTTTTCCCAGCACAGCGTTTTGTAACTGGTGCTGCTTTCTGTTTCTGGTACAACTTTCTCTTCCGGTACAACTTTCTCTTCCTGGAACTGCTCTCAGTTCCTGAAACTACTTTCAGCTCCTTGTACTACTTTCTGTTGCTGGTACTACTTTCTGTTCTCGGTACTAGTTTCTGTCCCTGGGAATACTTTCTGTTCCTTGTACTACTTTCTGTTCCTTGTGCCACTTTCTGTTCCTTGTACTTCTTTCTGTTCCTTGTACTTCTTTGTACTTCTTTCTGTTCCTTGTATTTTTTCTGTTCCTTGTACTACTTTCTGTTTCTGGTACTTCTTTCTGTTCCTTGCACTACTTTCTGTTCCTTGCACTACTTTCTGTTCCTTGTACTACTTTCTGTTCCTTGTACTACTTTCTGTTCCTTGTACTACTTTCTGTTCCTTGTACTACTTTGTACTTCTTTCTGTTCCTTGTACTTCTTTCTGTTCCTTGTACTACTTTCTGTTCCTTGTACTTTTTTCTGTTCCTTGTACTTCTTTCTGTTCCTTGTACTACTTTCTGTTCCTGGTACTACTTTCTGTTCCTGGTACTTCTTTCTCTTCCTTGTACTACTTTCTGTTCCTTGTACTACCTTCTGTTCCTTGTACTACTTTCTGTTCCTTGCACTACTTTCTGTTCCTTGTACTACTTTCTGTTCCTTGTACTACTTTCTGGTCCTTGTACTACTTTCTGTTCCTTGTACTTCTTTCTGTTCCTTGCACTACTTTCTGTTCCTTGTACTACTTTGTAGTTCTTTCTGTTCCTTGTACTACTTTCTGTTCCTTGTACTACCTTCTGTTCCTTGTACTACTTTCTGTTCCTTGTACTACTTTGTAGTTCTTTCTGTTCCTTGTACTACTTTCTGTTCCTTGTACTACTTTCTGTTCCTTGTACTACTTTCTGTTCCTTGTACTACTTTCTGTTCCTTGTACTACTTTCTGTTCCTTGTACTACTTTCTGTTCCTTGTACTACTTTCTGTTCCTGGTACTTCTTTCTGTTCCTTGTACTACTTCTGTTCCTTTCCTACTAACTTCTGTTCCTTTGTACTACTTTCTGTTCCTTGTTACTTTTCTGTTCCTTTGTACTAACTTCTGTTCCTTGTAATTCCTTGTTCCTTGTACTACTTTCTGTTCCTTGTACTACTTTCTGTTCCTGGTACTTCTTTCTGTTCCTGGTACTACTTTCTGTTCCTTGTACTACTTTCTGTTCCTTGTACTACTTTCTGTTCCTGGTACTACTTTCTGTTTCTGGTACTTCTTTCTGTTCCTTGTACTAACTTCTGTTCCTTGTACTAACTTCTGTTCCTTGTACTACTTTTTGTTCCTTGTGGTACTAACTTCTGTTCCTTGTACTACTTTCTTTTCCTGATACAACGTTCCGTTCTTCGTAATGATTTTGTTCCTTACATTGCTTTCTGTTCCTGTTTCTACCGTCTGTTCCTTGTACTATGTTCTGTTCTTCGTACTTTTTTATGTTCCTGGTACTACTTTTTGTTCCTTCTGCTACTTTCTGTTAGTGTTCTTACTTTCTGTTCCTGGCACTACTTTCTGTTCCTTGTTCTACCATGTGTTCCTTGTACTACGTTCTGTTCTTGGTACTACTTTTTGTTTCTGTAACTGCCTTCTGTAAATCCTCCTACTATCTGTTTCTTGTAATACTCTCGTTCCTGGTACGGTATGTACTGTTCCTGATGTTGCGTTAGTTCTACATCGTTCCTGGTACTACATTTTGTACCTCGTACTACTTTCTGTACCTGGTGCTATGTGTACTGCTTGTGTTGCTGGAACTGGTTTATGAACCTCGTCCTACCTCTATTTTCTGTACTCCATGTACTGTTCTTGGTATTACACTGGTTCTACATTGTTCCTGGTACCAGGTTCTGTTCCTGGCCCTACGTATATATTGTGTTTGGTGCTATATTCTGCATTGTCCTAACAACACTGAAGCATGATTGAACATATTTTGAACATACTGAAATCCGTCACGGTAAGGAAATGGAAGAGGCTGAAGAGGAGGAAGACATGGGTTGTAAATTCGGGCGATCTTCTCCATGGCAACATGCCGGTCTGATAACAATGCTCAACGACACACGTCTCTGGAGCTTTGATGACCAATGGAAACAAGTCGTCCACTCGCATGTACGTATAGTATGACCAGAAATTCTTGAGAATTTTAGGAATATGTCTATTTGGATTTCTAGTATAAACAACCTTGACCAGCTATCAAGTGCTTGGTTTCATTCAAGAGAGTCAACTCTGTTAATCCTTTTTCTTTTTCTTTTTCCTTTTTCTTTTTTTTTATTATAGGATATTTATATAGCGCACATATCCAGGCAGCTAGCCCATGCTCAAGGCGCTGGTATTTTTCCCTCGATCATTGGATGTCAATATCAACGGCACATCGTATTATCAATCTCAACTCCCTGGGGAGTATACAACTCTTGCAGCCACTAGGCGCACCGAGTTATTGTGGCTTTCTCATCCTAACGAGGTACCCATTCACAGCTGGGTGGACTGGGACACATAGTCACAGTACTTTGTCCAAGTTCACTGCACGTTGCTGTACCCGCAACTAGGTGTTTGCACGTATTCATGTGGCCACCATCTGGTCATATACCAACGGATTCGTGGGTTCTTTTAAGTGCACAGGGTTGTGTACTGTACACTAGGGGTTGTGACAACACTGAAAGAGTCTGCACACAAAGTTGACTCCAAGGTTTTTTACAACCGGTCACAGGTGGGCTCGATCCCGGCACCTCAACCTCGCTGGATCACTAGCCTGGCGTCTTAGCCAGCTCGCCCACCGCACCTCCATTTCATTAGTTTGTGAACAGTTATCCCCCTTTGTTTACTTGCTAGCAGACGACATTTTCAGTGATCCTCAGTATGGATGATTTAGAGAAGGGGAAGTTGATTTTAGAGTATTATACAAGGACATCAGATAAGCTAAAGTGATTTCAAGTAGAACAGGCATCCCTTTGTCCACTGTTTATCGTGTTTTGAAAAATATTGCAAATCAGGTAGGCGGATCAGGTAGGCGCGGGTAGGCCCAGGAAATTGACTGTCGGTGATAGGAGGCGGCTTGGTATTCTTATTTCTAAAAACAAACGAAGGAGTTTAGAAAACTTAAGGCTGGATATGATTCATACAGGGACTGTAACTGTCGGTAAGGAGACAATTAGAACTGAGCTGCATGCAATGGGTTGGCAGAAAAGTCGAGGATCACCGATCATGAAACTTGAACAAAAGGAGCGAAGGTTGAACTGGTGCTTACAGCATAGAAATTTTAACTGGGACAATGTGATTTTCTCAGATGAAAGTTCTGTGTGGCTGTTTCCTAATACACTGAAATTCTGGACCAAACAATCTGAAAAACCTTTGTATCAGCGCCCAAAGTACAGTCCGAAATTTAACGTGTGGGGTGGCATATCTGTGTTAGGGGTAACGCCCCTCTGTGTACATCTACTTATTACTGAAATATGTATGTGGGAGAAGAAGAGAGAAAGACGAGAGAGAGTAATAGAGAGACTGATAGAGTGAGAGTGAAGGGAATATGAACAGTGAGCGGTACACAGATATTCTCGAGGGTCATTTACTTCCATCTGCTCACGTGTTCTATGGAAATGTTTGGATTGTCCCCCACGACAACTACCCAAAACATCGTTCAAAGCACTCACAGGCCTGGTTTCGGACCAAAAATATGACATTATTAGATTGGCCAAGCTATAGCCCTGACCTAAATCCAATAGAGAATGTTTGGGGACTTATGAAGGAAAGTGCCAATAAGAAAAATCTGACAAATATTGCTGAAATGAAAGAAGAGGTGGTCCGATATTGGGACAGCATGGACCACGACTTTCTAACTTCTTTGATCAGGAGTATGCCCCGCCGCATTGAAGCCTGCATTGCTGCCCATGGTGACTCGAGAAAATACTAACTGTTCACCTGTCTTTGAATCTGGAGTTATGTTCTGCTAATATTCACATTTAATACGTGAGTAATGAGTGAAAAATATAAAAAATTTACAATCTTTAAATTCTCAATAATTTCTGGTTGAACTGTATAATGCCGTGACATGTGTATGGTGTTGATACGAGACGGGTTATCGTTATAAGCGGACGTAAAATAATTGAAATTGAAACGCTCAAACGAATATCGAACACTTTACCATTTGTAATAATGTCGAACACAAGTCGCCTCCTTTCGCTTATAACCTGTCATTTGTCAAGTCAGGGTAAGAGAATGATATCAGATTGCATCTATATATTTTGATTGGATAATATACATTGCCAGTCACTTCCATATAGCTAGCTGTGACGCATTATTGGATAAAGGTTATTGAAACATTATTGTGTTAAAAGAACCCAAGTTGAAGTACTATTATGACTGATAACTGTAAACAATTATTCGAATATTGAAGACAAACACTTTGATATGAATAACTATTACAGCAACCTACGAACAAACCGATTCTTAAAGTCTTATGAAATGTTTAATTGAAACAATCTCATAATTATTGTCCACCCAAATGAATGAATGGCTTAAGTATCAGCAAATGAACCGGATCCATCCATCCATCCATCGATCCATCCATACACACACACCACACACACACACACACACACACACATACATCGAAAACAGACTTTACTTTTATTTGTGAATTTCAAATTGGAGTTATGATAGTTTTCATCATGTGAAATAATGAAGGGTTTGCGCAGTCTCATCACGTGAGATCTGGTCATGAAGATGATGTCGATGATGATGTCGATGATGATGTCGATGATGAATATGCTGCTGAGCCCACTTGTATCTAATCTCATAGGATTTCAAGAGTTTGTTTGATCTTGGAAAGGACAGGCAGGCTGGATGGTGCTTCATTTCAGTGCTACCTATACACCACACTGGAGGGACAACAGTGCTGAAGATATAGGGAACAGTTACATAAGCAACGTGAGACAGTGACTAGAACTGTCATTGTGAACATCACCACAATCATATGATCCCAAAGTATCTAAAGTCGGGCGCCAGGGAACTCTTCCGTGTTGGGAGGTTGTAGCAATACAAACACTTCACAATTCATCACTAACACTTGACAGTCATTACATACAGGATATAGTAATTATCTCTGATATTACGACGTTGACGCGTGTTTGCACCAGCAAATAGTGGGGCCATTCTGTATGGAGGTTTCCTCTGTTTCAGTAACGTTTCAGTCAAGTTCTGTATGGGCCGCGGAAGGTGTAGCAGGTCAGAGATGAAGAGGCATCGGGAGTTCTTTGTCGTCATAGTTACCTGGATCCTCAGTGGAGAATTACAGCACGTCTGTGGTGAGTTCGTTCCCTAAGATTCAGATCTATACATCTACTTATTACTGAAATATGTATGTGGGAGAAGAAGAGAGAAAGACGAGAGAGACTGATAGAGTGAGAGTGATAGAGGAAGAGACTGATGTATACAAAGTGTGTAAACGAGTATTAGTGCAAGAGTTTAATATAAATAGTTTTGTGAAAGAGTTTAATATAAATAGCTTTGTGAAAGAGTTTAATATAAATAGCTTTACGCCGTTTTTAGCAATATTCCAGCAATATCACGGCGGGAGACACCAGAAATGGGCTTCCGACATTGTACCCATGTGGGGATCGAACCCGGGTCTTCGGCGTGACGAGCGAACGCTTTAACCACTGGGCTACCCCGCCACCCCAGGTAGTAAACGAGTGAGGGGCGAGTGATAGAGGTACAGAGAATGAGGGAGAGGGTGGGGTGGGAGAGAGTCATACAGGTAGAGAGAATGGGGGAGAGGGGGAGAGAGAGACAGAGTAATGGAGATAGGGCTATAAGGTAGACAGGGAGAATAATGAGAAAGTATAGGGCTGAAAGAGAGTGAAGAAAGCGCAGGTTAGCGAAGGAGAGATGGAGGGGAGTGAAAGAGGGGGTTATGGGAAATATATGGGGAAGGGGGGTGAGGAAGGTTTAGAGGGAGAGGCTTACTTAGGGGTGAAGGAGGAAGACAAGTGTCTCTGTAATAGCCTTGTGCCCCCCTTTACCAACAATGCACTCAAGTTAGATAGGGATATCTACAGTGTTCTTGTCTAGATGATGATGATTGTTTTAAATCAAGATACACAAACAATATAGCATATGGAATATATGTTGATACCCTGTACATTAATTGTTTTGTTGTCAAAATCTTATAATTTGACAATTTGAATAATTGCATATCTAGATGGAGTATCCGTCTGTTTCCCTGGCGTCAAGGGCAGAGGTCCCAAGTTTATACTTCCTGAATGGGAGCGGGTTATATTACTGTCAGTTAGACAATACAGATGAATGGTCAGAGAGGCGAGACGACATGGGAAATAGATGGAGGGAGGAGATGTGACCACAGAGTAATAGGGTGAGAGACATGGAGAGGAATGAGAGAGACATGGAGAGGAATGAGAGAGACAAAAAGTAAAGGAAAGGAAGAGGAATGTATGTGTTCGAGAGGTGAACAAGATAGATACATGGAGCAGGGATGGTGTAAAAGAGACGTGAGCGGCGAGAGGCGGTGTCGCTGAGGTGGCGGAAGGATTGTAAGTAAGAGAGGGAGACAGTGAAGGTATGATGACATACCTCCTATCTGTACAATCAAATAGAATGTAGCCCCATGTCACAACTTCTACTCAACGTAACGTGTTTTGTTTCCCGAGACAAATGACAACAAATCTTACTGTACGCATGTGAATTTAAATTGCATACAGTTATATTCAACGTTATAATAGCTAGTAAAAGTTTTACAGCAATTCTCAGTTAAAATGTATAATTGCCAGTGGAAACTCGCAAAAAAATTGTTTCCTGCTCGGTAAATTCCATTACTTTTCATGAAGTACAAGCATTAGAGAATCTATTACTAGATATTCAGCACTCAGACACAGACAATTACACTGCAACAGCTCTTTAGACTACTGTACCCTGAAGTTACAATGAAATTTACGTGACGGCACCCAAGTCACAATAACCAGCTGCCTTTCAAATAGCAATACATTGATATTTTCAAAAACAGCAGAATAAGATAGACAATTTCACATGTCATTTGTGTCCATCATCCGAGCGTGTTCTTTATTATTTCAGATTTTTTATACTAGGTATGAAGGGATTAGCCATTGTTAAATTTCATACGCTTTTTCAAGGATAGTGCTAAAACAAAAATTGCTGCGTTTCATATTTGATTATCACCTGTTACCGTGATACTGTATCGTCAACCAATAATCACACATGGTGGTCCCAACGATCTCAACAGTCACCTGACCCCTGAGGGTCCGGGTTAGAATGTGCCTTCAGTAACCCATGCTTGTCGTAAGAGGCGACTAATGGGATCGGTGGTCAGGCTCGCTGGTTTGGTTGACACATGTCATCGGTTCCCAATTGCGCAGATCGATGCTCATACTGTTGATCACTGGATTGTCTGGTCCAGGCTCGATTATTTACAGACCGCTGCCATATAGTTGGAATATTGCTGAGTGTGGCGTAAAACTAAACTCACTCACCCAACTCTGCAGATCGGTGCTCATGCTGTTGATCACTCGGTCGTCTCGTCCAGACTCGATCATTTACAGACCACCGCCATATAGCTGGAATATTGCTGAATGCGCCCTAAAAATAAACTCACTCGCTCCCTCACTCCAAACTGTGAAAAAAGGAACACCTCCAGCTACCAACAATGTCAACAAGAACATAATGGAGTCCCTGCATCAATAAATCTTCAAGACTAAACGAATTAATAATTATTCTAGACCAATCTCTGTACATAAATAATAAAATGTAACTGCAAGTTCAAGGTTCCTAAGCACGTACAATGCACATTTACCCTACCTCATGTAAGAATGTCTATCTCTGATTGATTCACGTGACCTTGAACAAATGGTGGACGGAAAAAAGTCATGGAAAAAAAAGTCATTGGAAAAATAACTATTATGAAACATCATGTTCTCCAGTTATTTACCTTGTTTATACTATATTTTATATGTTTCACTTTTATCGTCAATAATGAAAAAAATGTTCTCCAGTTATTTGTTAAAAAACTAATTCAACAACAACTGTTATTTAAACGTCCTGTTCTCCATTTACTTTGTTTATACTATTTCGCTTTCAAGTTAATTATTCCTTTAGTGTGACGCTGTAAGCAATTGGATCTTATCAAAACAGGAGAAATGAACAGAGTATTATCTGTTTAGTTCTTAACGGATTGTGGGATTAAAAGTCACAAGTCACATGATAGCTTTGAGCTTGACGATATCACACCGATTAATGAACTCATGGGATTATCAGTTAATGCTTTTACTCATATGGCTTCCTTCTAGCAGCTAATATAAGACACGCTGGCCGTCAGACTGTGACTCCAACTCGTCACGCCATTGGCTGGAACATTCGGTTAAATAAAATATGCTGGGACAACAGACTGATGTAGTGCTGTTGCAGATGAAAGTGTTATGGTGATATTTTCTGATGTCATGTATTTTACTTGAATGATTACATTAATTTTATAAGTTCGGTTCAAATGTGGTAGTGCTGTTGATGATAATATTGTTATGACTTGTTAAATAAATACATGATCAATACTAACCCTTTTTGAGTTTATGACTTTTTTCCTATGACTTTTTTTCCTACAACCCAACAAATTACCGTGTATGCCGGGTGCACGGTCGTACACTGCTTGGGTGGTGTTGTGCAAACCATCAGGCAGAATATATCAGTTATACCCACCCCACGGAAAAAAACATGCATCCACGGCAGTCAGTGAACCGTGAAGCAGTGGTTCAAATCGACTAGTCAGTACCATGTTAGTGAAATATATGACTGAATTTCAGCTTGTTTTGATGCTATATTTACAGAAAGAGAGATTTAAGATATTTTTGCCTAAGGTTATGTATGTATATTTTGACCCTCTAGATAACAGTGTCTCATAAGCCTGTTAAGGCTGGATGTATGTAAAACATTATGTGTTTATTTTATATGTATTTTATATCTTTTTTACATACATGGGACACTTTAATAAACTATGTCTATCTGTCTGTCTGTCTTCGTTAAGATACATTCTGTGTACTATTATGATGCGGGGTATACGGTGACTTTTGCCTCCCGTTTTATCCACCTAGCCGAAGGCTTAAGTGACAGTTTGCTACTACTTATGATAGGAAATAATTTGACGTTTTTGTGTATCCAGTTCTTGTGTATTCTGTTATATTATATATGTACTGGTGAGGTATAAATAAAAGCAATGTTTTGCTTGTTTACCAAACCAGATTCTCTGAGAATATAAATATGTTTAAACCATATGTTCAAAATTGAAATACAATATGAACATGCACACAATAGCAAAATTGAAAGGCACATCTTGCCAAACAAGGTTTTCGAGTGCACGTCTTGAGAAGGGTCAAAGTTCCTATTCCTATCTCAGTAAACAGGGTTGTTCAATCACACATATATACACACCAATTTAGCATGACAAATAATTTAATGCACGAAAGAGAACTTAACACCATTTCGACACCTTATAAAACAATCAATTTGCGATTCCCTTAGAATGTGCGATATGTTGCTGTTTAAAAAACACACCCTCACCAGCACATGTATATCTCACACCTAGCCCGGTGTGATCAATGGATTGTATATATTGAAAGCAAAATACACTTGAAAGTCGTGGCTGTTTAACTCCAATACACAAGACCAACGGACACAGCCACTTTGTCGGCGCAAGTTGTCGCAGGCGCTTTGCGGAAATTACGTAACTGAACGCGGAGATACACTAAACGTCATCGTTCCGCTCCGTGACCTCGTCTTTGCGAGCTGCACTGAAATACTCAACTGAGGTGAAACTCAGAATGATGAAATTGGAAATGAGGAAGAAACCAGGTAAATCAACATGTGGATGACAACACAATAACTTGAAAATCTCTTATGAATTCGTATGACAATGCAATATCTGTTGAGACTATGCTAATTTGAACAGCGGAGGAAGTTATATGGTTATACAACTTCTTTATTATAATGTAAGCGGCGTTTCGGCGGTGTACCCCCAGCAGGCAGCAGTGGGTTACCTGGGATAAGAGGACACACATGAATGAGCGTGCAGGGCATGTTGTTCCGTGTGTAATATGGTCCAGGGTATTTTGGCTGCCCATAAAATTGACGCTGTGACTTCATTCATGTATTCCAACATACATATTATCATCATCATCATCAATCTCATCAACAGTATTATGAAATACAACCATTAGGCAATATTAGCACTACCATCATGCTACAAACATACATTATTACAAAATATCACATTATACACAATATCACAAGCATACATCATTATTCATAGTCCCACAAGGTGAGACACACCGTAAGCAAGTAGAGTCTCGACACCATCTTGCAGCAGTCTACCCTAGCCGTTCTTCAAGCTGGCGATATTTGTTTTTCTTAGGTCTCACACAACCACCACCCTGCAACTGCATCAATCTTATTTCTATGTAGTTCTGTTGTGACCTTAAAGGTCACATGCAACGTAAAACACAACTTTGCAGATTCTGATACCTTTCGGTATGGACTTACCGAAACAAAGCGTCAAAAATGCAAATTCAACTTATAAAGTTGAAAAATAACGCGATGAAAAAAAAAACGCGCGAAATCGGAGTTCAAACGTTTCACTAATTTTCCCCAGACTTTTCTGGGGAATACGGGTTTCAACAGCTGGGCTGCGCTCATAGCACGTGCGCAGTGAAATAGGTTTCACGCAACTTGGAAGCGGGCTGTCTGGTGAATACTCGGTGAAGGCTTTGGTGTGAGCTATTTTCATAATGTTTTGTTGATATCTCACAGGCGCGAGCTTTTTATATGTTATGACAGTAAATAAACTGTTTATATAATTTCATTTGTCTATTTCACCACACGTTCTTCTTACCGAGTCACTTTCTCAGTTCGATACTTAAAAGCAATGTCATTATTTAACTGTGATATAGATATGTCGCTGTCACAGACAAAACTCAATGTTTTGTTAACGACACCTGTGTGTCTGCCTGCCTGTCTGCTAATGACAATATTCAATACACAACTGCGATCACTGACCACATGCAATTTGAACTTAACACCAATCAGGCTATACACCATAAACAAAACGCATTGATTTATGGCCCGAGTTCGGTCTCTGTCACATTATGTAATTACACAGACAGGCAGGTGTGATACTTG